TCAATGAATTACCTCTTATCTAATCCTTGTTGAATAGCCGTAACCAATGGATGACAATCTATAAGATTAGATTTATTAAGGTTTTCTAATTTTTGTTGCAAGGTATTTAGGGTATATATCAGTTGGACACGGGGCAATTGGACACAGTCCAATCACAAGTTGCTGTTCCAAGGGACCCTACAAATGTCTCTAATCACACGGTGCTGTGATTGGCTGTGTCCAAATGCACCGTGTCCAAGTGCACCGCTCCCTGAAAATTATATCAAGTAAATTCGGAAACGTAACGATAAAAGTAACTGTTACTTTCGTTACTCGTTACCAAAAAATGTAACGAAGTTACTTTTTTCGTTACAAACAAAATTTGTAACGCCGTTACCGTTACAGTTACAAAAAAAAGTAACTGTAACGGTAACGGCGTTACAAGTAACGCGTTACTTCCCAACCCTGATATATACATATGTATTTAATTAAAAAAAAAAAAAAAATATATATATATATATATATAATTGATAAGGGTAAGATATATATATATATATATATATATATATATATATATATATATATATATATATGTATTGTAATTTAAAAAAGTCGAGGCAAGAAACATGGTAAGAGCATGTATAAGGTGTTGAATCTAATATATATATGTGTGTGTGTGTGTGTGTGTGTGTGCGCACACACACACACATATATTAGATTCAACACTTTATACATGCTCTTACCATGTCTCGACTTTTTTAAATTATATTGGCAATTATGTGAATATAATACGGCTTTAAATGAATTTTGCATTATTTATTAACGTTTTACGTACTATGTAGTACGTAGCACATCGGTATTCTCACAATTACATACGAGTATGGTTCGGTATATTTAATAAGAGTATAGATCCTTGTATTATATGTTACAATTAACTCTGATTAAAAAGGCGCGTACTTGTGCAGTAAAATGGTATAATAGAATTTAGTCATGAAACACAAGGAACATTAAAAGAAAGGCAGAGACATTTAAATGTTTAATTATTCTCAGCATGTAGTGATATGTGTATTCCAACACATCTGTATAATTATATTTTCATATCGTTTATTGTAAATAAGATAATCAAACGATAAAATAAAAGAGAAACAAGATGATAAGGAAGAATAAAGGAAAAACATGAGAAAAAGAATGGTTTTGTCTTATTTTTATAGTCGAAACATTTCTAAACACAAGGAAATATTTATATTATTTATAATATGTTCCACTATAAAATATTTATTGTATTGTTTAATACTGTGATGACAGGATCGTCGTGCAGTGTCTATCGCTTCATTTGTATTGTTCCGAAAGTAAAAGTTGAAATAAGAAAAGTTGAAAGATTATCAGATCATGAAATCAAAGATTCAATAGCTTTTTTAATTCATAAGAATCATAAGAAAATCTCATATGAAAGGGGATGATATTGCATTGATAAGGGTAACATTAATAATAAAATAAAAAGTTTAACATTTTAATATCTCCATGAAGAGTCGCTTTCTTCTTTTCTTCCTGTCTTATCTTCCTCTCTTTTGTCCTCTTCCTTTACTTTTCTTCTCCTTCTCCTTTCTTCCTTTTTTCTCTTTTCTCTTTTCTTTCTTTTCCTCTACTTGTTCTTTTTCGTCTTTCTGCGAAACTTCGCACACTCGGCTTCTCCTTCCCTCTCGTATTAAACACTTTTCTTTCTCTCTCCTTCACTATCTCAGAAACAGAAAATTAATATACGTATTAATTAATATACGTATTACAAATTTATGAACACAATAACTTGTATTCAATATTTTCAATTAATCGTTGTTTTAACTATCGGATTGAAAATGTTTGATCATTTTATGAGTTGTTACGTTTATGCATTATCCTTTTTATGAAATTGATTTCGTCAAGACTTCTCAAGACAGAGAATATAATACTAGTAATTATTTTAAACATTTCTTGAAATCAATAATGAAATTTTGAAAGTAACGTACAATCTTATCTGATCTTTATGCATCTCAGTCTCTTTATCAGATATTGTGTTTAATTATAGTAGTTTCTATAGAGTATTATGTGTGGTACAATAATTATAAATCTTTAACTATTGGACATAGATTTATATTTTATTGGAACGGTCATTTTAACGAGAAAATTTAGAATAAAAAGAGATAATTATTAATAGAACATATTGGATGGCGATTTTTGACTTTATAAAACTATTATTTGAAAAAAGGATTAGACAAAATTTATAAAATTTCAAGAAGAACACAAAGTCATAATATTATTATGAAAATAAAGTATTTTTATTTCCGGTTTATTTCAAGATCAACTTCAATTTTTGTCATGGAATTATTGTTTTTTATTTTTAATATAAAATGATTCCTTTGATTGTTCATACGAAAGTATTGGGATATGATCAATAAAAAGTGAATACTTTTCGAAACATTACATATTTTAAATTGATAATTTTCTTTCCGCATAAAAAATAGAGTATCTCATGAAGTATTCATTTTTCGAGTTCATTTGAATACTTTTATATATTGAATTACGCGTGGAATCACTTGTAAAGAAACATAACAAAATAAAAAAAATTGTTATATTTTGTAAATACATTGATCAGTTGAAATGTTTCATATCAGTTTAAAATGTTCAATATTATCAGTTTGAAATGTTCAATCGATTTCTCTTGTTTTACGTATTAAAATATTAAGATAAGGTTATCATACGGAAATAAATACTTTACAAGATATTTTATATTTTATAAATATATCACAATCAAATCCAAAATATCTCAGAAGATGTTCATTTTTGATGAGACGATCTTTCTCTCTCCCTTTCATCGTAGTATTTTTTACGTGGAATGACTAAAAGAATTGAGTTAAAACAACCACATAATTTTATCTAAAAAAATGGAAGTTGACAAATAACTTTGACAAGAAAATTGCATTGTCGTAATATTAATATCCCATGCTCCCATTGAAATTTTACAATAATTTTTCAACACTTCTTTTCAAATAATGAATTTCTTCGATAATATAAAAGCTAAGCGGTCGCTCGTGTTCATTTTATATATCGAGCTTATATAGTCGTAGAAAATTACAATTTACTAACAAGAAATGTGTGACCAATGTAAAATAGGAAAAACGAATATTGAGGAGAAGAATATGTAAATACATGTAAACATATATTTACACACAAAGTAAGTGTATTAATGTACATATATATGCAGTTATACATGTACAGGGTATCTAAAGAAATGTTATCATTTATATGAAGAATTTACTTAAAACAATTTTAATATTAATATCGAGAAAAAGTTACTTATGATAATTTGTGATATTTATGGTAACTAAATTACTTATATGGAGAATTTGCTGCAAGAAAAATGTTAGTAATGTAAAAGTAATCAATTCCCAACACATACCTAATCCTGTATTATTATTCTTATTATTTTAGTTTTTAAATATAAATATTTAAATTTTTAACATAAAATGTATGTATATATTCAATACTTGTGTACATATTTTATATTAAAAGTTTAAATATTTATATTTTATAAAACCAAAACAATAAGAATATCCAGGATTACATAAATGTTCGAGCCTTGGTATTTTTACTTTTATAGAGAAAAGTTAGTTCTATATAAGTGTTAACATTTTTTAAAGCACTGTACTGTATTGGTATTGGAATTGATTAGAAGATTTCTTCCTTTTCGAAAAAAATGTACCGTGTATAATTAAATTCCTATGTAACACACTTGTGATGTACTTCGATTGTGTAAAAATTCCAAATTAATGTATCTACATGACACTATACACAGCTAGTGGATAATTACTAATATACATTATAATAAAACGTATCAACTGTAAATAAAAAGTAACGCGACGAAGTGTTAAATTGTAATATGCGTATAAAGCAAACACTACAAAAGAAAGTGTAGCAGGGTAAAACAAAATATATGTACATCTCCTACATTTTTTTAAATGCGGAAAATTGCATGTAATTACGTGAACTTTTTAATTGTACGGTAGAAAGTAGAGTAAAATTAGTTATAGACTTTCCATTAATACTTTTACCTGTAGATAGAAGAGCTACTTGATGAAAATTTAAATTAATTAAAATAGGCCGAAGGAGAGAGGAAGGGGGAGAGAGAAAGTGGAAAAGAATATGCAATGTGTCTCATTTTAAATGCTTCGGGCCAATATCACGAGAACGAAATTAAGAAAAATACAAAAAATATTTTATACATAAACTGTAAACATTTGTGGAAGAAATTGATTGTAATATTTTTCTGAACATATAGGGTGTTCATTCGAAAACTTTCCACCTCCATACCATATTTTTGAAAATATACGTTCTACGAAAAAATGTTTAATATAAAAGTTGTAGGATTTTGAGGGAGCTATAAAAGGCTACTATTTATCTAACCTTGCATGAAGGCGTTAAGATCCAAAGTTAACTTGAATTTTTTAAATGAAACTCCCTACTTTTTATTGCTTTTTATTGCTACTTTTTATTGTTCTTATAGTTTATCTCGAGAACTTTCCAAAGCACTATAATAACGTATTTTTTCATTAAGTACTTTTTAAGTAATGAAACTTGAAAGTTACAGTACAGTTGGCATTAGCATTACTCAAGGTGTATCATGTGAAGGTTGCTCAATCGGATTTATACCTCTTTCGTATGTATGTAGTGTATGTGTGTGCGTGTGTGTATGTGAGGGTGGGTGGGTGTGATGTGACGGTTCTCAGTCCTTATCTGTTCCTTATCATCGTAAACATCCATCTAATCACCCATACATCCATCTATGTACACGTACGCACGCAAGAACTCATACACACCCACGTACATCCACATCCATACACCTCCACCTACACCCACACTATATCTACTCAGTCACACGCGCACACGCCGACACATATAACACACACATATACGAAAGAGGTGTAAATCCGACCGAGAAACTTCCATGGTATCTTTGAGTGATACTAATGCCGGCGGCACTGTAACTTTCAAATTTCATTACTCAAAAAGTACTTAATAAAAAAATACGTTATTATAATGTTCTGGAAAGTTTTCGAGATAAGCTACAAGAATATGCAATAAAAAGTAGAGGCTTTCATTTAAAAAATTTAAGTTGACTTTGACGTGACCTTGATGTCTCCATCCAAGGTCAGACAAATAGTAACCTTTTATGGTTTTCTCAAATTCCTACAACTTTTATATTAAACTTTTATACTAAACTTTTATATTAAACTTT